GGTTCATTATATGAGCGATTTAGCTCCAAATTGGATTTTCTGAGCCACATACCATCTTTTTGTATTTCCCCAAAATACTTCTTCAAAACTTCCTTTCAAAATGCCCACTGTCCTCGTTCGGGGCGTCATGGTCCATTTCATGTGCTCTATGTCAAAACTTATAGCTCTATACAGTAAAACCATTTTTTCTCTTTGAATTAACTTGATTTAATATATTTTCGTATTCCACTGAAGCATCTATTCTGATAACGTGGTTTGTCCATTTTATTCTTTGGCCTTTAATGAAATTAATTATGTCAGGTTCATTATATGAGCGATTTAGCTCCAAATTGGATCTTCTAAGCCACATACCATCTTTTTGTATTTCCTCAAAATACTTCTTCAAAACTTCCTTTCAAAAATGCCCAACATGTCCTCGTTTGTGGGCGTCATGGTCCAAATTTCATGTGCTCTATGTTAAAACTTATAAGGCTCTTATACAGTAAAACCATTGTTTTTCTTTGAATTAACTTGATTTAATATATTCTCGTATTCCACTGAAGCATCTATTGACTGCAGTCATTTCTTTTGCAGTTCTGTACTAATATTTATCTTGTTGTTAGCAGTCGACAGCTTCAAATTTATATTTTCCAATTTCTAAGTGAGTGTCCTTGAAGTCTGTTGTAATGCATGGCATAAGTTTTGTTTTATTTTCCTTAATTTTCAGGCCCATCCTGAAAGCCTCCTTTTCTAAAGCTATAAAAGCCTGTTTTAGTGCTACTAATGTTCTAGCGATAATGTCAATGTCATCCGCAAAACCCAGTAACTATGACAGTTAATTAAAGATTTCCTCTGTTACTGATGTTTTGAATCTCTTATTACTTTTCCTAGTGCCAGATCGAAGAGAAGGCATGCCAACACCTCACCTCTCGAATACCATGTTTAATTTCAATTGGCTCTGATAGTTTACACTGTATTTTTACCATGATTTTAGTGTCATCTAGTGTCAGGGTGATTAGCATTAATAATTTGTGGGACATTTTAAACTCCCTTAAGACTGTGATGAGAGCTTTTTTATTTATATTATCATAGGTAGTTTTAAAATCAATAAACAGGTGGTAAGTATCGATTCAAAATTCTTTTGTCTTCTCCATAATCTGTCGAACGTTGAATATTTGCTCTGTAGTAGATCTTTTCTTTCTAAAGACGCTTTGCTAGTCTGCAATATGTTTTTTCCATGTATGCAGAGAGTCTATCCAATAGAATGTTTGAGAATATTTTATAATTAAAAAAAATGTTTAAATGTCGATGTAAAATATCAGTGTAAACGCTTTTATCAGTATCAAACAGACTTTTGTGTATAAGTATATCCTCAGTGTCTAAACCTAAGTGCCGATAAAATTACTTAAGGTAATGTATTTTAAATATATACAAAAGTGCAGAATTTTTATATGTATCATAATAAGTTCAGTATTGAACGTTTAAAAGTCATCTTAAAAATCTGTGTAATATGGTTATGGATGTGCAACAACTCATGCATCAGTCTAAAACATATGTTTTGTACTAGTGTATTCTCAGTATTATCTACACCCATGTGCGCATAAAAAGCACCAGGGCAATTTATATTCGTAAATGCGTAACAGTGAGGAATTTATATGGCTCAGAGTAAAATCAATATGGAATATGTAACTAACAGTTAAAACATATCGAAGTAAAATATTTCAATTTCAGTGCTACATTTTCAAATATCAGTGTACTGTATCAGTATAACAGCTTTTTCAGTGTAACAGCATTATCAGTGTAAAAGCATCTTGCATCTCGTGTGAAACTATTGTCTTGTATTTCGCCCCTGTATGGCCATGTACAAACAAAATGTTCCTATTGAACTCCCGACGCCACGCTTCTGGATCGCCAGGGAGTTTTTGCTTAGTATACTTGCAGGATCCGGACGATACCCGGCTCATTTACAGTTACTAAATGTAAGTGAGTCGGGTGCCCAAACCCGCTCTCAATAAGTCACTTGTTTCATTGCCACAAGTGGTTGGCTGATTCGTCAAGCAGGAGACGTGCATTTATGTTCCAGTTCTGATTTACCAAAAAAAGATTTATTTTAAAACCTACTTAAGACTTTGTAGTTCTTTTCAGATGAAGCCATAAATCGGTGCACGTCTGCTAGGAGTTTGAAATTACTGTATGTTACCAAAGAACACTAAACTCTATTAAAGCATCACATAAAATTGCATTTGTATTGATAAAAAAAATCACTTAAAATTGCAAAATTTGTATTGATTAAAAAAAAAACTTTATGTGAAAGGTTCTTCCTCTTCCTCGGAAAGGAAATAATTAAATTCTGTTTCTTAAAAATTTGAAAAATAGTTGAAAAAAGAAATAGCAGTGCAGTTAAATTAAAACGAGGTTAGGAAAAAATTCGGGAATTTTTTATTTTTTTTAGAGGAATGCTAAGTAAGAGCAGATTCAGGAGAAGCCCTGAAAATTAGCAGAAATACTAGACTCGTGCTATATCAGATAAACCGCCTGGAGTGTAAAAGATCACTACATAAATCGTTATGCCGGAAGAACTAATTCGCTTAAATAATTAAATCACTCGTCATCTTCAGAATGAAACAACTTTCATATGTGTTTAACAAAAACAAATTACAAGAATACATGCGTTTGCACTCCAGTACCAGTGGACAAACAGACAAAGTAGACAGATGTCTTGTTTGTTGTGTTGTGATTTATCTCATTTGTCTGGCAATAACTTCAGAACAAGTCCCTGTTATGAACCTGAGTTATGTTCATATCATATTCCTTATTCGAAAAATACGAAGCAAGATATGTAAAGCGAAAAAAGGAGTGGATTCTTGTATTGCGAATTGGAAAGGAAGTTCGACGTTATGAAAGAGTGTATTCTAAGCATTTCCAAAATAACTGACTTCATTTTTCTTTGTAAGAAATATTTTGTTCATTATTTGCTAAATTCTTTTCTCGAATACCGTACACGTTCAAGTAATGCCCGCACTTCTTTTACTAAAATTACATCACTAAAATGCAGGTACGGACATTACACGGGTCGTTCAAATGTCGCGCTTTTTCTCGTGAGTAATTTTGGGTTTAAATTTCATTCCAAGCAGTCAAATTAAGTTCTAAGTGGAAGAAAATTGCATGAGTAATAAAAGCATCAAATTTAAAGTTGTCTAATAGCTACCTAAAATTTATAAACTCACTTTCTCCCATCGACATATATAATATAAATTACCCCGTTTACGTTATCAGCACTCGGTGCATATTAGTTCGCACAGGAGCACAATATAGAGGCACGAATTAAACAACACTTGCAATTTTAATATTTACTTTTACACAAATTAAATAAATGTTGGTTCTTTAAAGTCTTACACACATTATCTTTTGAAAAAACTGTTCTGACGCAGTGTGAAAATTTTGGTTGTTATGTCTGCTTGTGCAACTATAAAATCTTTCTACTGCAAACAGTAGCATAAAAATACACGAGAAGGCAAAACAAATGTATATTCTTTCTTTAAAGATGTTTATTGACTAATGTTATTTGACTGAAGGGAAAAATACGATGTTAAGAAAAATATATTTTAAAGTAAGAAATTCTTTAGCTTAGGCGGGTCACCTTTTTTTTACATAAATTTTATCTGTAAAGTTGGTGTACGGACGTAACACGAGCGTATATGGTATATGAATGCAAAATATAAAATATGAAATAAAGTTATTAAACTTAACTGAAGCCAACTAACAATAGCCTTTTAAGTTCATAATTTTTTAATTAAACACATCCCTGCTTCAAGGGTATGCTTTGCAAAATTTTCCGACGCTCTGCAGCTTAGGCTTCTCTTTTTCTGCAGATTCTTTTCCCTGTGAAATATAAAAAATATTCCCAGTATAATCTATATTCAGGATTTAAACAAAGACTTCCTCAGCTCATAAATACGACTTCAGTTATTATGTATCACTTTTTCGCTTGCTTGCTCAGCCAAGGAAAGTCACGTCTTTTTGCTAACTCTTCTTTCCATTACCTAAATTGTAAACTGTGCGTATAGAAGCTGTGGGGCCCACTTAGCACCCCCAAATGTTGTAACAATTTAATCAAAAAGTATTTAAAGAGTTTTTACTGGTCAAAATAAAAATGATGTTTTAATGATCAAGCCAGTTGTGATTTTCGCTCTAATCAGATCTACATAACAGTTCCTCTTCACCATGTCTAAAAAGTGATTGGTTTCATCTTCTCCAGTCAGCTCTCTGCTAAATCCTATCAATGTATCACAACTGTGAACCTCTAAATTATCATATATGTGTGTGGATGTGTTTTTCAAGTAAATAACATGCATATTTGTGTGGACTGAAGTATAAATCTTTATAGCTCATTCATCTCTTAAATATTATTAATACACACACATATGTATTAGGTTTTTTGGTTGTTTTATCTGCAGAAATTTGAATTAATCCTTAAATTAATATAAGCAATGATTTAAATGAAAATTTATAATGTGAAAATCATAAAAGTAAGAATTAAGTTTTTTTAAGTTTTGAATTTCAAATTCTACTCTTAAACACTTTAGAACAGTTTACAGTGATTAAAGATATTTTGCATAATTTCAAGTTCAGAAAATAGCTAAGATTATATGCTATGAATAATAGTATAAAAGTAGTGTTGCTCCAAGCAGTATGTAGTAAGTAAGTAAATATTAGTAATAACCTAATTTTTAAGTACCATCCTAAGTAAATATTAGTAATAACACGTTTTTAAAATAGGTCACTCTATTGTATTCATTATTTATATAAAAATAGCCTGAAAAATACATTTCCTATGTTTAGAAAAATTTCTCCACAGTGAAAATTAGTTGACGATGAAAGTAGTTATTTTGCTTATAACTTCAATCTACCAGTATTAAGGAGCCAGTATATACCAGTACGTTGTGATTTCCTGTCTTTCGATAAAAAGACTAAGATTAATGTGCACCAAAACACAACTGTCTACTGTTCCCCCTTCTCTTCTGTTAAAGTGCATAAGATGTGTAACGAGTTGTACTCGTAGTGAATGCTGTCAGCTGAACCAAATTGCTGTTAGGTGTTTAGCATGCGATAAGGATATATTGTGTTCTGCGAATCTTTAGGAAGAACTTGTAATGCTCATCTAATTTCTGAAAAGGAGTAAGTATACTTAAGTTACATGTTTAATGAGTCATCCTTAATTACAGTTTTGAAGCCGTTTCCGTATGAGTGTACTTAAAATACAAATTACAGTTACCTATTAAATGAAAAGGGATATGTAGATTAATGTTTGTTGGCTGACTAAGAAAAAATAAGTGTTTTATTAATTATAAGGAAATTAGATTCCGAAAGTTTTCTGTAAAGTTTGTAATAGCTATTCAGGTAATCGGTAGAAGAGTCGTTCCGTACGTTTCACAATTTTTTTGAAAAATGATTTAAAGAAAGAGTATGTAATGTTTCCGATTACTTATGTATATATTTTCTGTAAGTTTAATAGAAAGATATACCTGTGGTCATATCAAAAAACCATTTTCAGGTATAATTTAATTGTATTTCTGTAATGTAAAAATGAGGAACGTGTAAAATTCTGTGATAGATGTAGATTCCTAAGTTTCTTTTTCTGTGTGACATCTTACCAGCTGCTATGTAGAATAAAATTCTGAACACTTGTATTTTGGTGCGAGGGAATAAATTAGCTGCTTTCGTGTTTTCATAGTTTTGCTAGTGTTAATGTGAACAGGAGCTAGTATTCCTTAAAAAGTGCTCTGTAAAAATGTACCTTGTTTTAGGCAAATAGTTCTTGTGTGCTGTACCATGTTTAATTAAATATAATGTTCGCTGATATTGCGATTTTCTTTTTATTTAAATTCAAATTTTAGCTTCTCTTTAACAACAGTGGCATTGTTTCTTGTCTTAACAAGCAACCCTTTGCCTTGTATCGATTGCATTTAGATTTAAATAGCTTCTTTTTTATTTGCATTTTAGGTATTATTCCGTTTTGAGGACCGTAAAAAAATTGCAGCAAAAATGTATGCGCCAAATCTAGTAAACGCGGCCATTTAACAACGCATCAAATCTAGCGTACACGCTGATTTCAGATTGCGTAAGTTTATATAGTTCGATATTTCTTAAGACGCCATTGAAATACTAGTTTAATTTTTAAATCCTTTTTTTATATTCTATGAATTTAACAAATTGGGAATTGCACATGAGGAAAAGTGAGCAATAGAATTTTGGATAAAGTGCAAAATCGCCCACTGCTTGATGCATTTTTAAGAATTGCACATACTCGGTATCCACACACAGCGACCTATTTTCACTGAAAAACAAAAATCCCAGAATTGCACAAAAATGGCACTGTGCACACCCTTGACTTTATCTATGTACACATCAATCTATTTTCACTTAAAAAGTAGAAGAAAATTGACAAAATCAATTTTTACCTTAGAGGCAAACAATAAGTGGGCGATTCTGCACTTTACCGAGAATTTTTTCAAAGAAAAGGCGTCGTTCATTATAGAAAATTATGTTTGAATAACCAGTGAAATGAAATTATGCTTTATCACTAAAGATGAAATTATGCTTTATCACTATAACTCGGGAGCGAAATAGCAATGCAGGCATTCATTCAGTTATATTTAGCAATTTTTATAGAAATTATAATAATGATCTGAAATACTTATTTAATCTTATGCTTCCATTCAGTCATGTTTAGCTTGGGTAGAGTAGACTTTAAGGTACCCCTTGTATTATGGCAAAGTTGTTGTTTGATTTATCGCCAAGTTGTTGTTTCTTTATGGAGCCTGAGCAGTTGAATGTTATGGAAACCCTATTGTGACGTAATCGGTGCATGATTCTGGAAATTTTGAATCATGGGATGTTTTGTAAGCATTTTTGTGGTGTTTGTTGTTTGTTCTTTAGACGGAGAATGGCCAAATGTAGTAGATTAATTTGAAGTTTCTGTACATTTGGAGCGAAAGGGAAAGAGCTTTATTGACTGGTGTGTAAATGAAGGTTACTTAGTAGCCATTAAAGTGTCCTGTATGTAGGAAGGGATATGCATCTAGTTGACGAAAAACCATTTAGATGGATTTGAATGGGTTTTTAGGAAGAAAGGTTCAGATGGTCACTATGTGAAGCGTTCGACAAGAGTACTGGTTTGAAAAAGTCTTTGAGTATGATTGATATTTTGATTTACGTGGCTCTGGGTGTACGAGCAACTCGAATATCACGGTAAGTGAATATTTGCTTTGGTAGTGCTTAAATGTATAACATGTTTTTCTCCTTTTAATGTTATTTTATTATTTGGTTTAAAATGATTTATTGAGATAGTATTTTTTGTTTGCCTATATGTAGAATTTGGCTCCTTTGACTTTTTAAGTGAAAATATATCGATGTGTATGGACAAAGTAAGGGAGTGTGCAATGCAAGTTGTGCATTCTGGGATTTTTTTTTTTTTTTAAAGTAAAGATAGGTCGTCATGTGCATGGATAAAGTTAAAAGAATGCACAATGTCATTTTGTGTGATTCGGGGATTTTTTTTAAAGTGAAAATAGGTCGACGTGTACATGGATAAAGTCAAAGGAGTGCGCAGTGCCATTTTTGTGCAATTCGGGTATTTTTTTTTAAGTGAAAATAAGTCGATGTGCACATGGATACCGAGTTTGTGCGATTGTTTGTCTTGTTATTTTGGCTTTGTGTAGCAACGATTTTTGGCACAAAAATCGCTGCTTCACAAGCCATAATGAGTCAAAGAATTGCACAAAATCGATATCCATGTACCGCCCAAAATCGCCAAGTTTTGCCAAGGAGTGCCCTAAATTATACTTTTACCATTTAGCTTTTTTTGTATAAATTATAATAATAAAAAAATATTATATGAAATTAACCTTTCATCTAAATTAAAAATTAATCTAATCTTAGATAGTTATTTATTATTACACTTCCTTACTTGCGTTAGAGTTGCCGCAATTATTTTTGCCAGCACTGGCATCGACAATAGTTTGGCGATTTTTTTCAACCCTCAAAACCGAATAGTACCATATTTTATTTATTATATTGCTTTTGAATTTTATTTAAAAATATTAAATTTACATTTAAAGATTTTTAAGAACTATTTAGTTAGATAATAAATAGATACAAATTACTGATGTAGCATATAAAATTTTAAATCACTTATCATAATTTTCCACATTACATCTTCGTTATCAAAGTCACATACCATGGTCTTTTTTCTTTATGCCTGGATCCTGTAAATTTTAAATATTTCACTTCATGCAGTCCCAAATATTAATCATGTTTTCAGGATTTGAGAAAAAAGCAGAACTTATTTCTTAACAAAAAAATTAAACTGGCTTATTGCGAGTTAATTGAATTTACGTTTAACTCTTTCATATCAAAGTTATCCAAAATGCCTGATCATCCAGACATTGGCTAGTTGCCTGAATGTTTGAATCATTTTCGGTTAATCTTTGGATTATGGTAACTTAGCGATTTTTTGGCGAAAATTTGGCGACCAACCCTACAGCTTGCTACAGCAAGCTGCTAGTTTTTGCTTTCATGAAGTAAAGGCATATATATTTGTTTTAACTCGACATTTTTTTCCAACAATCTGCTAGCCGAATTACGCTTATGCTAGAACTTTTATGGAACAAAAGTGCTTAATCATGATGAAGATTAGGTGCGAAATTGGGAGAAAGTGTAGAATCGCAAACTGCTTCCTGCTTTTTTAAGAATTGCACATACACGGTAATCATTTACACGTCGACCTATTTTCACTTAAAAAATCCCAGAATTGCACAAAAATGCATTGCGCACACTTTGACTTTATCCATGTACACTGCAAATCCTAGCTAGTAACCTTTATCGCTTTACCAAAATGTCGCCAAACTACCTGTTACCATACTCCAAAAAGTAGCCTCATTTCCTACCTGGTGCTTCCCCCCCATCACGTTAGTGCACATCTCATTGCAGTCGGGAATTGTTAAGCGACGTGCGAATCATTCTTTTGAAGTGACTAAAAGTAGTTCTGTTATTTGAATGCACCTTCTCCTTTGTTTAGCATCAACGTTTACCTGTTCAGGCCAATCTATCATAAGGGGAAACTGCGCACAGTGATGAAAGCATATGAAGATCCCAAGAGAAAAGATCTTCCTTCTCTAAAGTAGGTTATTATTAGCACACAGTCGCATTCTACTTGGCATGGGAAAAGGAAATCCTTTCCAACAATTTATATATATGGGTATTTCAGATGTTTGAGTGAAACAGATTTTTAGCCTCTACCGATGCAAAAGAGTTAAACCAAAATGGAGTTCTTGCAATTGTGTTGAGATGTCATGCTTATCCATTACTGATGTTAAATTGCACTGTTTGGCGACTATGAAAAAATGTAATAGTACAGTCAAAAGTCGTTAATTCGGACCCCAAAGCTAAAAACTTTCTGCGCATGCGCCGCGTTGACACATGCGCATAGGCGTTTACGCGTGCGCGTAAGACCTTTTACGTCTGCGCATATGCGTGTGCGCAAGTGCAGAATATGTTTTCGCATGCGCGTTTTATGTATAATGGACGGTATAAGCTAAAATTATCTAATTATCTATTTCAGTTAATGTTGATGATTGCGTTGTTCCTTAATCTTCTAATTGGATCTGGCTTATTATTTTTTGCAGACTGTAAGAGCAGTTTTATGAAAAGTAAACTTGAACTTTCGCTTATGTCAAAAAGAATTTCCGATTCTGGAGCTGTCAAAGGATCTACAAAACGAAAGTATGTTTCGATGTCCATCAAACAAAAAGTGAAATGGCTGCAAAAAATGGATAAAGGCCTGAAGAAATGTGACAGCAGAGGTTTGTGAAAACGAAAAAATTTCAATTGACAAAGTTAGTCGGTATTCTCGGCACAGCAATTACAGGACTTGAACAGCGGAACTTTGTTAACTGAACAAGAAATTATGTCTGTTTATAGAATTAAAGAGAAAGTATTATCACATAAAACGAAGCAACTTAAACAACTTACATTGAAAGAAATGTTTAATAAAGTAAACAAATAAATATTAAGCTTTTTTTTTTTTTTTTTGTAAATTTTGATACCTTTAGATCATAATTGTTCTTTATTTCATAAATTACGGTTTCATATTTTTAATTTTAGAATTTCTGCATGCC